TGATGGTGACGATTCTGCTGATGATGAGAAGGGGGATGAGGAGGTCAGGAGGTGAGGAGAGGTAGGATGATGCGGCATACCGATTCGGCTTTAGGCGCCAACCTGTCTCTTTCCTTGCTCTACCTATGTATGTATGTATGTATGTACGTATGTATGTATGTATGTATGTATGTATGTATGTATGTATGTACATATGTATGTATATATGTATGTATGTATGTATGTATGTATGTATGTATGTATGTATGTATGAAAGAGCGTGTTCTACCGCTGCTGGCGGAAAACCGGGGGGGGTCACTACCGGTTCGAACCCCTCCCCCCCCCCTCCGGAAAACCGGGGGGGGTCACTACCGGTTCGAACCCCTCCCCCCCCCCCCCAGCTCATCATGAAAAGGGGGGGGGGGTCACTACCGGTTCGAACCCCCCCCCCCCCCCCCACCCCCCCCCTCGAAAACCGAGTGGGGGTGCGGACAGTGGTGGGGACGGTGTTGGTGGGGACAGTGGTGAGGGGACAGCGGGACAGTGGTGGGGACAGTGGGGGGACAGTGGGGCAGTGGTGGGGACGGTAGTGGTGGGGACAGTGGTGAGGGGATAGCGGGACAGTGGTGGGAACAGTGGGACAGCGGTGGGGACGGTAGTGGTGGGGACAGTGGTGGGGACAATGGTGGGAACAGGGGGGGACAGTGGACAGTGGTGGTGACGGTGGTGGTGGGGACAGTGGTGTGGGGACAATGGGAACGAGGTGGAAACAGTGGGACAGTGGAGGGTACAATGGTGGTGGGGACAGTGGTGAAAGCGGTGGCGAGGACGGCGGTGGGACAATGGGACAGAGGTACAGTGGGGACAGTGGTGGGGACAGTGGGGACAGTGGTGGGAACAGTGGGACAGCTCAGTGGGACAGCGGAGGAGTCAGTGGGACAGTGGGGACAGTGGGGATAGTCGGGCAGTGGTTGGGGCCGTGGAGACAGTGGGGAGAGTGGAACCGTGGTGGGAACAGTTCTGGGGACAGCGGGGACAGTGCGACAGTGGTGGGGCCACTGGTGGGGACAGTAGGGGCGGTGGTGGAACCAGTGGGGACAGCGGTGGTGAGGACAGTGGTGCTGGGAACACCAGTGGGGGATGTGATGCGGACGGTGGTGGGGACCGGGAGTCGTTTGCTGGCGGTGAGTAGGGGGGGGGGGGGGGCGGGGGGGGGTTCGAACCGGTAGTGACCCCCCCGGGTTTCCGGATCCGGAGGGGGGGGGGGGGGGGGGGGGGGGGAGGTTCGAACCCGTAGTGACCCCCCCCCGGTTTCGAGCGGGAGGGGGGGGGGGGGGGGGGGGGGTTAGGGGAGGGGGGGGTTTGCGGGGGAGAGGGGGGGGGGGGGGGGGGGGGGGGGAGGGGTTCCGGCAGGGGGGGGGGGGGGATTTTCGGAGGGGGGGGGGAGACCCCCGGGTTCCGGAGGAAAAGGTTGGCAATTTTCCACAGTAAAGCGGCGGTGGATCACGCTCTCTCATATGTATGTATGTATGTATGTATGTATGTATGTGTGTGTGCATGCATGTATGTGTGTATGTATGCATGCATGCATGCATGCATGCATGCGTGCATGTATGTATGTATGTATGTATGTATGTACGTACGTACGTACGTATGTATGTATGTAGCTATGTATGTATGCATGTATGTCCCGTCATTCCTCCTCAATTATGGCGGACAGATGAGGGGGCTGGAAGGACGGAATGAGCGGGATGTAATGGCCGTAAGCGAGGGGCGTCATAGAAGAGCGCGACGCGTAACAGTGGATGGGGATGGGCATGGGAATGCCAAATTTGAAGCAGAAGAATAATAAGAAGGCTTCAAACTTGAAGAAGAAGGGGCTTCAAACTTGAAGAAGGCCAGCTCAGTACGTGAAGAAAAAGGCTTCAAACTTGAGATGGGGGAGAGCTTCGTAGGCCCCTGTTTGCCGCTGGGGAGTCCCGAGCAGAGATGGGGGCCGCGCTGACTTCCGAGAGTGAGCCAAGACATGTGCAAGGCAGACATGCTCTGCACTGGACCCTCTGCGCGCGCGAAGCGTTCTTGCGGCTGCAGTAGAAAGGGTGAGAGAGAGAGAGAGAGAGAGAGAGACAGAGAGAGCGAGGGAGAAGAGAGAGAGATACATGAAGAGAAAGAGAGAGAGAGAGGGACAGGACGAGAGAAAGAGAGAGAGAGAGAGAGTATCAGAAAGAGATGGAGGGGGGAGAGAGACAGAGAGGCAGAGAGAGAGAGTGATATAGAGAGATCGGAAGAGAGAGAGAGAGAGAGAGAGAGGTAGATAGAGAGTGATACCATGCTATATATACATATATTTATACATATATGTATATATGCACAGGGAGAGAGAGAGAGAGAGAGAGAGAGAGAGAGAGAGAAGGAGAGAGCGATATACCAACATATATATATATAGATAGAGAGACACAGGGAGAGGGAGTGTGATAGGTGTCCTTTGATAGGTTTAGCATATTGATCTTTCTTGTATAGCCCCGCATTCCAGCTCACGGGGCAGCCAGGATTGTCCGCTATGACACTCAGGGAAGATTGTACTGTACTTCGTCGTTGTGGCTCAAGGCCAAAAGTACATCTGTTCATCCTGCTGCTGCCACAGTTGGTAGCGGAGCAGTGTTCGGCGCGGCCGGCATGGGCGCTCCTAGGCACCGCTAGGCAGCGGTGGTGCCAGGAGCAGCTCGGGCTGCCGCGCGAGCGCTGCTCTCATCAAATTGGACAGAGCGCGGATCCACGGCAAGAGTATGCCAGCAGACGACGAAGACGGCAGCAAGAACTACGCTGTGATCGATCCAGGGGGCACGCAGCAGTCGGGGGCGACTGCAGGCGGCGGCGCCCCAGCTACCGGAGCTCAGGCTTCGGGCTCAGGCGGCCAGCTGCCAGATCAGCTCAAGGAGTTGGTGCAGCAGCTCGTGCAGGAGGCGCTGGGTCCGAGACAGGGCGGCGGAGCTGGAGGCGCAGATGATCGAAGCAGCGGGCGCCCCAGCGGCGATCCAGGCGGGCGAGACAGCTCCCGAGGCCAGGACCCTTGGAGCGACGCCGGCCGGGACCCCTGGAGGCGTGGAGAGCAGCCGGAGTCCAAGGACGGCGGGAGAGATCAGTCGGATCAGCAGCAGCAGGAGTCGAACTGGAAGAACACCGACTGGAAGGACAACTCCAACTGGAAGGACTCCGGCTGGCAAGGCTCCGGCTGGGCCGACGGCGGCGGGCGGTCGAAGGGGGACTACTCGGACCCGCCCGCGTGGCCCGGCTGGGGGCACTACCGTTTGTGGAAGAAGGCCATGCAGCGCTGGAATCGGAACACAGATGTGCAGCTGTGGCGGCGCTCCGAGCGCTTCCTCAAGCTGTTTGACTGGGCGATGCAGGCCAAGTTTGAAGACATCAGCGAGGGCGTCCTATGCAGCCAGCAGTGGTTGGACACCCTCCTGACCAGGATGGACATCATGAGTGGTGAGCGCGAGGGTGACGACATGCGACGAGCAGGTCGTCGAGCTCTATTCGAGTGCACCCGCGGCGCCAAGGAGAGCCTCACACAGTTCGTGGCCAGGAGGGAGCAGCAGATGCAGGAGGCCGAGGGTCACGACATCTGGATGTCCAACCGGATGAAGGGTTTCATGCTCGAGGAGGGCGCCAGTTTGGGCGCTCAGGGCCAGCAGAACCTTCGAGCGCTGACAAAGGGCAGCCTCGAGTACAGCGACGTTGCCTGGGCTCTCAGGCAACTTGACTACGGCAGTGGCGAGAAGCTGCTGCCCGGCGGCAGCTCGTCCCATCCCGTCCTGGCCGCAGAAGACGGCCTGGGCGACGGGTCCAGTTCCCCTCCTCCTCCTCCCTCCCAGGCCTATCCTGCCCTGGGCTCCGGGACTGCGAAGCAAGACGACGAGTCGTACTACGACGAGTCAGAGGAGGGACCAGAGGAGGAAGACGACGAGCTGTCGGAGTCGGACGACATGGCCATTTTGGCAGAAATCGAGGACCTCGACCTCGAGGAGGACGAGGCCACAGAGGCGTTCATCCAGATGACCGGCAAGGTTCAGCGCAGGTCCTGGAAGCAGAACAAAGACCTCAAGCGGGCCGCCAAGCAGGACCGCGAGTTCTACGGAGCCAGGCAGCCACGCGGAGGCGACGACGGACGCCGAGGAGGCCGCGGAGGCGCCCGGGGCAAGGGGCGCGGACGAGGTCGCGGGGACCGACCGCGAGGACACGACGGCAGCTCAGGCACCAACCCGCGGATCCTTCGACTGATGAAGGTGACCCGTTGCAAGAACTGCAAGGAGAAGGGCCACTGGGCCCGGGAGTGTCCCAATCCCCGGAAGGAGGATGATCCCAGGCGCTCGGATCGACCTCGCCGAGGCATGACGGGCTATACCTTCGACGGGTGCAGCTTCCCCATTCTGAGCCCCGACGTGATCGAGAGGCTGAGGAACCTGCAGGCGGAGGTCGAGTCCAGCGACATCTACTTGAACGCCGCCGTGACTCAGGGTCTAGTGGACCCGGGCGCAGGGAGCGACATCGTGGGGCAGCCTTCGCTCAATCGTGAGTCAGAGGCACTTGCCAAGTACGGCCTACGTTACGTGGTGGTGTCCAGCGAGTTCAAGGCACCCAAGAAGGCCCACGGCATCGGAGGCGAGGCGAAGGTCCTCTGCACCATCCTGTATCCGTTGTGTCTTGGAGGAGTGATGGGCGTGGTGGAGACCACCGTTTTGAACGAGGACGTGCCGCATATCCTGAGCGTGAATTTGCTAGACTTCCTCGGCTGTGTCTTGGACTCGCCGCGCAATCTTCTGATCTCGCAGTATCTGTCACAGGATATCCCGGTCACCAAGCTCGGATCGGGCCACCGCATGGCAGACATAGTGCGAGAGACACGCGGCAGCCACGAAGCTCCCGAGAGTGCGCTTCGGAAGTATCCTTTTCTGACAGCATCTTCCTTCAGATTGCAGGCTGGCCAGGCACCGCCTATGATGAGTGCCAGCGGAGAGGTGACTGAGTACATCATCGCACACATCCTCATCATCACCATCCCCGGTCACCTCGAGTCCGTGCAGGCATCGATCAGGCTCGAGCTTAACCGCAAGAACGGGTCACTAGCTCAGCGGGCCAGATTAGAACGGGTTAGGGCCTCGGGATCCCCTCAGAACACTAAGGACGAGAAGATGATCAGCCAGAACAAGGTCACGCGCAAGATCAGAGAGACCGGAGACCCCGACCCCATCAAGAACGGCACCGGAGCTCTCGAACCCATCGCGCGGACGTGCCGTAGTGCCTCGGCCGGCCTCAGGAGGAGTCTCGGAGCCCTCGATCCCATCGTCAGCAGTGCTACGTCGCACCTCAGAGCCCTCGGCCTCAAGATGGCCAAAGGTCTGATGCAGCTCATCTGTCTTTCCGTAGCGACTTTGGGCTCGAGCTTGTACCAGCGAATCGCTCCAGCTTTCGACCCATCTCAGTTCAGAGCTCGTATTCACAGTTCCAGTGATGCTCGCGCCGTGCGCGGCAATCATCCTCGCTCTGGCCGTGCAGGCCACAGCAGGCGGCAAGAAGAACCAGAAGGAGCCCGGCGCCAAGAAACTCACCGAAGAGTTACTGGCACGGCGCCAGGCCAACGGTCAGGACTCGGACGTATCCTCGGAGGCGTTCGACGGCTCAGCATTCTTAGTCGGGCAGAGCTTCGTGCCCGGCGCGGCAGCCGCGGCAGTCAGCGGCGACGTGCAGATGGCTCCTCAGCCACAGCAAGGAGCCGGCAGTGGTGGCGGTCAGGGCCAGACTCAGCAGACGGCACCGACGATGGCTGCACTCAGTCAGCAGCAGATGCTAGAGCAGTTTCAGCAATTGTCGAACCCGATGGGGCTGGGTCCTGGGCAAGCTACGGCGATCCCGACAGCAGCTACCGCGACAGCGCCACCAGCGACAGGACCGACTCCACCGAAGCCCCAGCCGTCGCTGTGGGGAGCTGCAGCTGCGGCGTCTCAGTGGCCGCCCCCGACGCCGATCCAGGGATCGGCGCAGCCGACGATGAGCCAGGCGATCTACGCTCTGGCCTCGGCGGGAGCCGAGCAGCGAGGACAGCCCCCGCTGCCAGCGGGTCCGCCTCCACCAGAGGCGGCAGCAGCGGCGGCACCGACACCCCCAGCCGGGGTGTTGACGGGACCGGCAGCCACCAAGCCGCCACCCAAGGCGCCGCCATATTGCAGTCACCCGGCCAGCGCCATCCGCTACTACGGGAATCAGCACGGCTCTGGCTCTCGGTGTATGATGTGCGGCCAGAGAATCGCGTGGGTCCCGGGCGGCAGCCGTGTCGGGCAGGACGGCCAGGCGGCGCCCACAGCAGCCGAGGCAGCCAGGGCAGCAGCATCGTCCGCACAGAAGGCCGTCGACCTTCTCCAGAACGATCCCCAGTTCCGAGCCGGAGGGGCGGCGTTGACAACAGTGAATCAACTGTCTGGCTTGTTACAGGGCCTGCAGTGGCAGCTGGAGTCGATACCCGAAGGGGTACGTGCCCTCAGGAACGTGCAGAGCGTCGTCGATCAGATGATCCAGGTTGCGACGCAGACTGCGCAGTTTCCCAATCAGGTGGAGGAGGGACTGCAGCAACTGTTTCAAGGCATGACGGCAATCAAGCGCCAGCTGCTCGGGCTGGAGGACTTCGGAGTGGCGATCGACACTCTTCAGGAATCGGTCAACACAATGGCCGGGACTCTCTCGGGGATGGAGACCGCAATCGGGCAGATCGGGTTCATGCTCGTGAACGTCGGCACGGCGGTATCGGCGATAGCCCACGCGATCAACAACGGCCAGCAGATCGAGGCGCAGTGGGACGCGGTGAGGATGCAGCAGGCAGCAGCGGCAGAGGCGGCCAGCCAGGCGGCGGGCTCAGGCGCGGGGCAGGCAGCGAGCTCAGCCTCGGGGCATCCGGAGCACTTCGGAGCAGCCCAGCAGCCTCCGCCGCCTCAGGCGACCTTCGGGACGGAGCCAGACCTTCCAGCCCAGATGCCGCCGACGCCGACTCAGAACCACGAGATCGATCAGGGCGGCGACCCGTGGCACACGACTACTACCACCACCACCGAGCAGACGGCCACGACCACGCCGACGTCGAACCTGGCTCCGATCCCGGAGCAGGGCCTCGAGTCCTGGGAGATCCTCAGCAACAGCTCAGGACCAATCGTGTGAGATGCTCGAGTACATGCAGCACTCCCGGGATCGAGCCAAGGGGCCGATCTCTGGGCCTTTCTGCCGCCTTCGCGAGCGGCAGTTGCTCACTTTCTGGATCCTGCACGCGTGCGGGGGTAAGAGAGAGTGCACCTACCTCCTCCGATTTGCTTCGTTTCTCTCCTTCTAATCCCAACTCTCGCTCTCTCGATGCTCCAGGTGATATTTCCCCCTCTTCCTCCGGTCCGAGTAGCCAGTCGATTCCAGTTTTCCCGACGTTCGTTTCGTGCGGGGGGACCTCGTCACTCTCGGCTGGACGCGGCACGGATAACAGGATCGCCGGAGCACAGCTCCGACGGAGGGCCTCCGAGGGCCAGCGGCCCAGGAGTCCGACTGGGGGGAGTTTCGGAGGTCTCGAGTGGCAAGACGGGGACAACACGAATGATGATCACGAGGTCGCACTGCCCCGACAGGTGCGAACGGCTCTCGAGTCTCGCGCGAGTGCCGAGGGTGCTCAGGAGGACCCCGGGCCCGGCACCTACCTATCGGGCAGCCGAGGAGTTAGTTTCATGGAGGTGTTTTCTCCACCTCGCATCGCTCCTCGCGTGGAGCAGAGGGGGGGTCGTCTAGGGGCCAAGTCGAGCTGGGACCTGAAAACCGGTTGGGATTCGCGCAGGACGAGTGACAGACGAGAGCTCTGGGTTGCCATCGGAGAAGACAGGCCAGAGATGATTTGGCTCTGTCCGTCCTGCCGTACCTTTTCGGCGATAAGTAGGATCAGTGAGGCAGTGCGAGACCCCATCAAGTGGCATCAGGCTGTGGTCGAAGGAGTAAACGACCTCATTTTGTGTATGAAGATCGCAGCCTACCAGGCCGAGAGGGGTCGCTATTTCGCCTTCGAGCATCCGTTGTTCGCCAGCTCTTGGGCAGCCAAGGTGGTACGGTTTGTGGCTCGGCTCCCAGGCGTTCGACGGATCCGGATCGATATGTGCACCTTCGGTCTCAGAGTCACTAAGGAGGGCCTCAACAAGAAGCCCACGGGGCTCCTCACCAATCATCTGAGGCTGTCGGAGATCATGGATGGCCGGCTGTGCGCCGGCGATCACCCCCATGTCTTTCTCGAGGGCAAGAGCCGCACTTCCAAGGCTCAGGAGTACCCCCCAGCGTTTGCCGAGGCGGTAGCTCGTGCGGTGACGGAGCAGTGGAGTGGTGCCAGCGTGTCCCGAGCGCCCACATGGGCAGAGCTCGACGAGAGCCACTTTCCCGAGGGCGGAGAGGAAGGCGGGCGGGAGCCAGAGGACCTAGTGGGTCCCGAGGGAGCCAGCGGAAGCGAAGATGACGAGCCAGAGACTCGTCCCTCGGGTCCCCGCGCCAAGGATCCCTCGCCGGAACCCACCGAGGAGGAGAAGCGTCTTCTCTTCCGCCTTCATGTTAACATGGGCCATCCATGTAACCGCAAGTTTATCAGGGTCCTCCGGGCTGGTGGCGTGAAGATACACCTGCTTCGCTGGATTAGGGATTCCTTCAGATGCTCCGAGTGCGCGGAGCGGGCCCGCACGAGTGTCCACCGAAGGGTTGCGCTCCCACGCACGTTTAGGTTTAACCACATTGTGGGGGTTGACTTGTTCTACCTGACCTTTCAGGAGCGGACGTTGGCCTTTCTCAACCTAGTCGACCACGGCTCCAACTTGCAGGTGTGCGTGCGTGTGGAGGAACCTACCGCTGTTCAGGTCTGGCGAGCGTTTGTCAAGGCCTGGGTCCGTCCTTTCGGGGCCCCCCACTTCCTGCTTTCCGACGGGGGTTCCGAATTCGAGGGTCGCTTCGCTCGAGGACTCGAACAGTGGGGGGTCCTCCACCATGTCTGCGACGCCAACTCGCCCTGGCAGAATGGCCGGGTAGAGCGGCATGGAGGCTGGGTTAAGGATAGGATCAAAGGTGAGATCGAAGGTGGGTCGGGTCTCCCAGGGAGTGTGGACGAGCTCGAAGAACTGGTGTACGAGCTATGCGCTCACAAGAACCGCTTCTGGCACCGAGGAGGCTTTTCTCCGATGCAGCTTGTGTTCGGTGAGAACCCCCGCATGCCCCACGAGTTGTTATCGGACGATCACATGGGCCTCCCTGGTTGGCAGGACGCCATTCGACCCGCTTCGGAGCTCGATTCGGCCGGCTCCGAGTTCGCCAGGTCTCAGCGGGTCAGGGAGCTCGCTCGCAAGCTTGCTCTGGAAGCGACTGCTCGAGACAAGGTTGCCAAGGCGAGTAAGGCCCGTGGTCCCGGCCAGGCCCAGGTATCGTTCACTCCAGGCCAGTGGGTTTTCGTGTGGCGCCGCATGACGCGGGCGGGGCCCCGGGCGGACACCTTGGGACGTCGACGGGATGCCTGGACCGGTCCCGGGGTGGTGGTCCTGGCCGAGCGAGGCACCGTGTGGGTGGCGGTACGCGCCCGCCTTTGGAAGTGCTCGCCAGAACAAGTCAGGCTCGCCAGCGCGGAGGAAGAGCACGGTCTCCAGGTCGCCCAGGACCCGCGCTGGGAGGAGCTCCTGACCCAGGCCCAGGCCAGGCGCGCTACCGCTGTTGACGTGCAGAGAGAGGGCCCGCCTCCTGACGACGCCTGGGACGAACCTCTGAATCCCGGAACGGACTCGGCGCCTAGCGTGCCCACTGGTCCGGAGCCTCCGCCACGGCCGGATCCGTCCGTCGAGATTCCTGCTGGGCGGCCCCTGGGTCTTCCTGGACCTTCGATGGTCCGCCGAGGTTTCGACCCAATCGGACCAGGGCCTCCGAGGACCCCTACGTCGAGGCCTTCGTCGGCAGGAGGGTCCGCCGCGGCAAGGGCCGGGTCCGAGATCACTCGACTCCCGTCCGTCATCGAAGAGAGCCACGACGGAGACGAGGAGCCTCCCACTCGCCAGGATACGCCAGAGGCAGAGGAGTCTCCCGAGTCGGCTGCGGCCGCCGCCTCTCCTTCCGCTCCTCCGTCGGCCTCTCCTCTTCCCTCTCCTTCCCCCGTCCCGTCTCCGGTTTCCCCCTCTTTCTCTCCTGCCTCTCCCGCTGCCGCCGCCGCTGACACCGCCGCGGGAGGAGGAAGGAGGACGCCCAGAGGTCGGCTGCAACAGCCGAGCGACGTTCCCGCCTGCATCCGACAGAGGCAGGCGGAGACGCGGGCCGCCAGCTGTCCCCCGGGAGTTAGCGACTCGAAGCGAGCAAGGATCGAACCCCCTCCAGGTCTCGGGCCGACCGAGGCGGTGCCAACCGCGACCCACTCAGGCGCCAGCACCTCCGAAGGGGGACCAGGCCAGGTAGGTCGGAGGGTGCAGGAGATCGAATCACGACTCAGAGGAGACGGGTTGTGTTCCTTTTTGGTGGGAGCCGAGGATGCGCGGGTGTTCTTGGTTGAGGAGGCTTCTCAGGATCACGAGGAGGTCCTGGCGGCCAGCCGGGGGGGAGAGGTCACTCTGAGCAGGCTCACTCCAGCTGAGCGGGGGAAGTTCGAGATTTCAGATGACAACGAGTGGCAGAGCATGGCCAGCTCTGGTGCGGTCGAGGTCATTCCGCCCCGAGAGGCGAAA